CTCTGTAGCTTTAATTAGGCTTTCAGTGATCAAAATCTTGAAGCAAGTTATAATTAGGGTAGCCATATGATTTATTGTGCAAACTGGGACATTTCTGAGAAGGGGGCTCTATTAAAAATTAAGTTGGGATGTTATGTATGAACCAGGTTTGTTTCAGGCAAAGCAAGACATACGGTCACTCTATTTTTTATTTTTAAAGTAAATTTTATAGAAATATAACATATACTCAGATAGTCCATACATTTTAATTGGACAGCCAAATGAATTTTTAAAAAATGAGCCACCCAGATCAAGAAATAGAACATTACATGTTTCCCAGAAGCCTTCTTCATGTTTTCTTGTGATCATTACCTCTTCTTTCCTCCAAGGAAACTATTGCTCTGACTTTTAACCATGGATTTGCCTATTTTGAACTTTATATAAATGGCATATAGTACACACTTTTTTACCGGGCCTCATTGACTCAGTGTTTTCTTTGTGACATCCACCCATGTTGCATTCAGTGATAGTTCCTTCATTTTCATTGTTTTTAATATTCCTTTTTGTGAATATACTGCAGTGTGGATGGTATACTGTTGACAAATACTTGGGTTGTTTTTATTTTGGACCAGTAGGAATAGTACGGCTATAACCATACTTATTCATGAATCTTTTGGTAAACATATGTACTCATTTCTGTTGGGCGTGTAATTTAGGAATGGTAGTATTAGGTCATATGATATGTAAATGTTCAGTTTTAGTGGGTAATACCACCTTTCCTCTAAGTCTTACATCAGTCTGTACTTCCTCCAGTAGTAGATGAGAGTACCAGTTATTGTGTCCTTACCAATACTATTTGGTTGTCTTTTTCATTTTAGCCACTCTGGGGCCAGTGTAGTGGGATTATATTGTGATTTTTAACTTGATAACTAATGGAGTTGAGCCCCTGTTCCTGTGCTGATTGGCCATTTGGGTTCTCTTTTGTAATGCCCATTTGGGTACTCTCCTTCCTTGTTTGTTCAAGCCTTGCCTATATTTCTATTGGTTAATCTATTTTCCTTATTGATTTGGGGTTCTTTACATATTCTGGATATTAGTCTGTTTTCATCATATATATCACAAACATCTTTTACTCTGGTTTGTCTTTTCTCTTTATTAATAATGTCTTGTAATGATCTTAACTTCAGTGTCATCCAGTTTATCAGTGTTTTCCTTTTCAGTAAGCACTTTTTGTGTTCTTTTAAAGAAATATTTGTCTGCTTTGAAGGTCATGAAATTGTTCCTCTGTCGTTTAGAAATATTAGTGTTTTACCTTTCACATTTAGATTGCCAGTTTATATGGAATGCATTCCTGTGTATAGTGTGAGGTAGAGGTCAAAATTTAATTTTTTCTATATGGGAAAATTAACTGCACCATTCTCTCCTTGTCCCAATGTCACAGTCCTGTAACTTTGTCCTACATCTTGGTATATGGTAATGTAGGTTCTCCAGCTTTGTTGTTCATGTTTGTAGGCCATTCTTGTCTCTTTGCATTTCCATAAACATTTTAGACTCTCAGTTTCCATATACAAAATCAAAAACAGCTTAGATTTTTATTGGGATTATATTGAACCTAAGGATGATAAATTGACATCTTTATAATATTGAGTTTTCCAGTAAAGAAATATTGTACATGTCTCCACTTATTTAGGTATTGATTAATTTTTCTCAATGCTTTGTAGTTATCAGAATAGAGATCTTATGAATCTTTTATATGTATTTCTAATTTGGGGTGGTTTAGCAGATAATTTATTGAGATAAAATTTACATTATATAAAATAACCATTTGTCTGAGTCTGTTTTGTGCTTCTATAACAAGATATCTTTGACTGTAATTTATGTAATTTATGAAGAACAGAAATTTCTTCTCACAGTACTGGAGACTGAGAAGTTCAAGATCAAGGTGCCTGTAGGTTTGGCTATCTGGTCGGGGCTCTTGTCTGCTTCCAAGATGGCGCCTAGCTGTTGAATCCTTCGGAGGGGATGAATATCATATCCTCACATGGCAGAAGGGCCTAATCCCATTAATGAGAAAGAACCCTAGACCTTCATGCCCTATTCACCTCTTAAAAGACCCCTTTTCTTGATATCATGTTGGCACCTGAATTTTGGAGAGGACATGTTCAATCCATAGCACCATTAAAGTAGACAGTTCAGTGGCATTTAGTACATTTGGTGTTGTGCAACCACCACCTCTTTCTAGTTCTAAAACATTTCCATCACTCCAAAGTAAAACCCCCTAAGCAGTTTCCCTATACTTCCTACTTCCCTAAGTCACAGCCCCTGGCAACCACCAATCTGCATTCTATTTCAATGAATTTATCTATATTCTGGGTATTTCATATGAATGGAACCATACAATATATGACCTTTTATGTCTTCTTTCACATGGTGTTTCTGAGGTTTATTTATATCGTAGTGTGTATCAGCACTTTTTAAAATAGCTTGATGGTATTTCATCGTGTGTATATACCACAGTTTGTTCATCTGTTGATTTAACATTGTGGGCTATTTGCACTGTTTGGCTATTGTGTACAGTGCTGCTACAGGTTGAGTATCCTTAATCCAAAAATCTGAAATGTTTCAAAATTTGAAACTTTTTGAGCACTAACATGATGGTCAAGGGGGAATGCTCACTGGAGCATTAAGGATTTCAGATTTTCAGATTAGTGATGCTCAACCAGTAAGTATAATGTAGATATTCCAAGATTCAAAACAATCTGAAATCTGAAACACTTCTAGCCCCAAGCATTTTGGATAAGAGATACTCTGTATAAACCTGTGTCAAATTGTTTGAGTACCTGTTTTCATTTCTTTCCAATATATACCTAGGAGTAGAATTGCTGGGTCACATGATACTTACCTTTAACTTTTTAAGGAACTGCCAAACTCTTTTCCATAACAGCTGATACATTCCCCTCAGCAGTGCATGAGGGTTCTATTCTTCCTACATCATCAACAACACTTGTTATTTTCTGTAATTTTTAGTGTTTTTGATGGTATTATCTAAGTGGCATAGTTTTTTTTTTACTTCATTCTGTTTGTTGTTGGTATATAGAAATACATTACTTTCCTTATAAAAATCTTGTGTCTCATGACCTTGTTAAATTTACTTGGAGGCTATTAATTCTAATAGTTTATATAGTTATTTGATTTTCTGCATGCACCTGAATTTCTAATTTCCAAAAGCTTTCATATTCTTTGTTTCTTTCTCAGTAAGTATTTTATGGGTGTAATATTCTCGTGAATGATTTGGAGGATATTTATAAGGATTTAAATTCTCTTTACATTTTTTCATTACCTTAGTTTGCTTTGTAGTTGGTTCCTTGCTTTTCATTTGGGAATTTCTTAATTTTGTAGATATTTCTTAAATGTCTGGTACTCCTTGGTTATCTGTATTTATGAAGGACTAGAATGGTTGACTTTAGTAACTGATATCGGCTGCCTCTCAGTTTTTTGAGGTCTATTTTCCTAAAAGAGCTTTTCCCTGGATGGGATTGTTGATTGAGAGCTCTGCACGAGTTTGCTTTAAGGGCCAGCAGCAGAGAGGTAGACTGAAGACCTAAAATTTATTCTGGGGGTTGGTTGCTATAAAGACTTCTTCCTTTTGGTGGATTTTGTTTCTTTTCTCCTGATTCTCCACCTCCTAATCCTCTATCTGTGGATGTTTGGAGCAGCCCCAGGCTCAGCCCTACTTTGCTTTTGTCACTAGTACCCATGCTGGATGCTCTTAATCAGATCCGGATACTAAGCCTGGGATCCAAAGTTTATACAGGAAGTGAGACTGTCATGAGTGGGTCTACTGTTTTGTGAGCAATCTTTTAATTACCTTGATATCCATATGCTTTAATCTGGCTTCTTGATCCTGACCTTGGCATTTTCTTCCAGATTCTATTTAGGGGTTTGGTAAAGACAGCTCTTGCCTCATCATAGTCTTTTCCTGTGCTTGTTTTGTTTGGGTTGCTATTTCTTCTGCTGTGGCTTCTCTATCAGTTCAGTCTTACCTGCTTCTTCCAGGAAATTCTTCTGTTTGTTTTCTTTCTTCCCTTTTTGGCTTGTTAATGGATTGTTAATGGAGGTATTTTTGTTTTCAGATTGTTATATACATATGTGTTTTTTAATTATGAAAAATTTGGACATAAAACACACACATATACTGCTAAGCTTAAAAAAATAAATTTAATGGGAGCTGTATATTCTCTGATTGTATCGCACTTACTCTCATGCATCTATTTATATTTTATCTATGTACGTGCATTTCTAAACAATACAGAGCATTATTTTGAATGTGTTTGAGCCTTATATAGTAACATAATGCATGAATTCTGCACCTTCTTTTTATTTTTCATTCATCATGGTTCTTTTGTTTGTTCCTTCTGTTAGTATATCTTTTCTGCTGTTTCAGTGGAATTTGAGTAGAGAAGATAAATCAGCCTGTGTATTTAGTACTATGACTTTTTAAAAAGGGAGATTTAAGCAACTTTTGGATATATTGTCCACTGAGACATGTAGTAGAAAGGACTTGGTGTTACCTCTTCTTGTTTCAACTGGTGATGATAAGTGAATATGACACCTAGCAATGTTATACCAACAAGGTAACGTAAGTCTTGCTTCTGACCTCTATTCACTGTTATAAATCCTTTTGGAGACAGAGAAACACTATTCAGTTGTGTTCAGGATTTAACTGAGGTTGAATGAAGATTTGGGCTCTTATTGCTGGAAGACATTTTAGATCATTTAACAAAACTCAGGCCCAGAGAAAGTGAGTGACTTGAGGTGATCAGGGTAAAACACAGGGTTAAAATAAGCTGCAGTTCATTCTTCTTTCCACTTTACTACAGTGAACCAGAAGTTATTTCCTCTCGTTCAATTTTGACTTCTCTCTGCCCTTTAAAATACTTACTTGACTACCAAGAGAGTTTTAGTATGTAGGAATGAACATAAATCTTTGAACTAATTGTTATTTGTTATGTCTTTCTTAGGGTCAAAATGGTTTCAATCCCAGAATATTATGAAGGCAAGAATGTCCTCCTCACAGGAGCTACCGGTTTCCTGGGGAAGGTGCTTCTGGAAAAGTTACTGAGGTCTTGTCCTAAGGTGAATTCAGTGTATGTTTTGGTGAGGCAGAAAGCTGGACAGACGCCGCAAGAGCGAGTGGAAGAAGTTCTTAGTGGCAAGGTAAGTGTGGAAAATGATCATTTGGAGGGAAGAAAAAAGTATGTGCTTGTGTATATAATAATTGTAATCATCAGTAGCTTTGTATAGTTCTTCAGTATCCTGAAAAAAGTTAAGTCTCTGCAGAATGGCAATAAACCAGATATAATGACCTTTGAGCCAGTAGAAGAAAAAAGCTTTTCTTTATGATGGGCAAAATTGTATAACATGTCCTAAGTTACCTTTATGGAGGCATAAGAGTTTTTAGAATATTTGTGGCAGATTATTTGTAGCTACTTGATATTTTAAAGAGTCTTTTGAAAATAAAAATTAGTGAGTAGTTTTGAACTCCCTACTATGCTATGAAGCACTGTGTTTTGATTACATTTTAAAATTTATAAGCACCAGTTGCCCCCCACAACAGTATTAGGAGGTAGAGAAGTCACGTATTCCCATTTGACATATGGCAGAGGGGTCATAGAATACAAGATTTTGTCATACATTTTGAGCCTTTAGAAAAATATTGCTAAGAGAAAGTAGAAATGAGCTGGAGTAAAATTATTTGAATTCTCTCAAAACAGATGAATTTGTCTTTCATCTATTAATAGTACGTTTGAATTGGAAAGCTATAAGCTCAATTTTGTTACACATAAGGAATCTCACTCTGCAAGCATATCCCAAAGGAATTTCTATTGTAGCATTTATTGTGTAATGAAAAAAACACTCATTTGACTATTTAAATTCTTATAGGCCTGTTAAAAACAAAACAAAACCCAAACTGTAGCAAACTCCTCCCCAGCAACCAAACCGATTTTTTTTTGTTTTGCTTTTTTGAGTTGGAGTCTCACTGTGTCCCCCAGGCTAGAGTGCAGTAGCTTGCTCATGGCTACCATTGCCTCAACCTGCTGGGCTCAGGCAACCTTTCCACCTCAGTCTTCTGAGTAGCTGGGACCACAAGTGTGTGCCACCATACCCAGCTAATTTTTTGATTTATTGTAGGCATGAGGTCTCGCCACGTTGTGCAGTCTGGTCTTGAACCCCTGGGGTCAGGCAGTCATCTCGCCTTCACCTCCCAAAGTGCTGGAGTTACAGATGTGATATCACCACACCGGCCTGGACTTTTGATTTTGAATGAACGTCATATACTTTTATTATAGTTGTATGAAACTCATTGTCATACTGCATTAGCTTTTCTTAGACACAGTGCAACAGGTAGTCCTCATCATGTTGCTTCTGTTTTTTAACGCTGGGAATGTAAGATCCTTTCTTAGAAATGTAGACATTATCTTTATTCTTTTTAATTATTCAGATTAGCCTGTATTAGTCTCACTTAACCATTTTTTTCCTCTCTCTGAGTCTTTACTGAACCTTTTAGAATCTTTTGCTTTTCTTAAAATCCATGAAAATGGAGTCATTAATGGGACTATAAAACCACAAGGCTTATTCTAAATAAAATGCCTGGGTGTATGTTTTATTACTATCTTGTTCTTCTGTTCACTCATCTTGGCATTTTATTCTGAACCACTTATAATTGGCATGTTTTCATTTCCTTCCCAATACAACCCTTCCCTCAGTGAGAGGTTATTTATTCTTGTCCAGTTTTCATTTTTTAGAGAATATTTATTGTGCCTGAGATTTGACTTGATGTAGGGAGTTAAATAAGGCTAAATAAGACAAAGTCCCTGCTTTCTTGAGAGTTTTTAAGAGGGAAGAGGGAAGGAAGACAGCATAGAGGTGTCAGGAAGAGATTGTATAGTTATTGAAGTTGATGTCTTGGTTGGAATTGAGGGCCTGAGTCAAATGTAAAAGTGTTGGGCATCTCCTTTGAGTCTCCGGAACAGTACTTCTAAAATTTCTTCCACAGTAAATCTAATTTGTAAAGAAAAGGAATATTTTCTACTTAAAGCCTGAAATTTCGTTGAACTTTTATGTCTTAGTCTTAATTTACAGCCATTATTTTTAGTATGAAAATACTTTGTTCCCAAATATTTGACTAAACTTGATAATCCATAAAATTATGTCATTTTATCCTGTGCCTTCAGTTCCCTCCTGGCACAACTCACCAGTTAATCCTAGGGCCACTCATTCCCCATTACGTATAACATTGCTGGTAAGTCAATAAAAATGAATCCTTTTAATGTTAAATTGCAGTGAGTGTACACTTGAAGTTAGTAAACTTTAGGTAGGGTCTGCTGTGATTTTGAAACAGGAATAAAGAATATAGTCAGAGCATATACCATAAAGGGACATTGTCTTTTTAGCAGGGCTTCTCAACTTCAGCACTATTGACATTTTGGTCTGGATAGTTCTTTGTTGTAAGGGCCTCTCCCGTCTGGCCTCTACTCACTAGGTGCTAGTAGCACTCTCCCTTTCCCCTCCCTCTTGTGACAAGCAAAAATCTTTCCAGTCATCACCAAATGTCCACTGGGGACCAAAATTACTTCTGGTTGAGCACTACTAAGGGAGAATGTCTAAGGGTGATGAGGATTGGATTAAAATAGTTGATCAGGAAGTAAATTCTGTAAATTGAATAAAAGATATTAAAAGGGCACTAGTGAATTTAGTAAAATAGTAACTAATTGGTACTGGTGGGTTGAAAGCACTGGAAAAGATATTGAATAAAAAGATGATGGCTCGAGAAGGGAAGAGTATCAAATTTGAGACCTAGCTTGTGAAGTAGCACGACTATGTCCTGGTGGTAGTGGTATAGATAGCTGATATTAAGGGGAAATAAAGATCATCAGCAAATCAGAAAAATAAAAAAGTATGAATTCAAGGTGTTAAAAAGCACTTTTCTGGTCATTTTTTAGGTTCCTTTTTTTTCTACTTGTTCCTTAAATATTCATATTCTTTAGGTTTTGTCCTAGGCTTTGATTTCTTACTAAGTTGAGGAAGATGGTTATTCAGCACCCTCTGTTTTATGTGAGATGAGTGGTGTTGTACTTTAAATTAGGTTTGGAATTAACTCAGTATAGTTTGGATCTTGGAAAGCATCACCATTGATGCTTTCTGGATAATCTCGTTTACTCCTAGGGCTTCAGTTACTACTTGAGTGTGGTTAGTAAAGTCTATATTGATCACCTGGTTCTCTCCTGAACTCCAGACCTACACAACCAGGCACCTTTACTAGACCTGTCTTCTGGGATGTCATGTAGGCACTTTACACTCAATATTCACAAGACGACTTGTATGTCCAAAATGGTATTTCTTTCTCTTCCAGTGTTCTCAGTATAGTGAATTTATTCACTTAAATGTTTATCAAGTCTTCGTCTTTTCAGGCGAGGTCTGTTGTCTAGGGGCTTGTGTGCTGAACAAAATAGATGTGGCCCCTGCCCTCATGAAGTCTTCATTCCTTATCCCTCAAATCCAGTCATTGACCAAGTCCTGTTCTGTCCTAAATCTCTCTTAAATGTGTCCATCATTGATCCTTATTGTCATTATGTTGGTTCAGACCAGGAAATTTCTTGATATAGGTAACTCAAGAGGGTCCTAAGACTCATTAAAGTTAGAGGGTTCTTTACATTATTAACATGCTTGTATTACCTCCTTGCTTAAAATCTAACAATAGCTCACCATTGCTGTCAGATAAAATTCATCTAGTTAATATGGTTTATAAGATAGTTGTCTAGCTCTTCTTATTTCTGTACAATTCTAGTTGCTTTTTCCTTCATACTCTTTTTTGTTTTTCCAGCAAAATTTTCAAACAAAGTTTATTAGAGAAAGAGGGGAGAAAAGAAAGGGAAACATGCCAGAGTTGGCACGGGTGAAAGAAACCGCCTTCATATTCTTATGATCCAAGCTTCCTCAGTTATTTTTAATTTCCCAAAAATATTAATGCCCTCTCACTTTAGGAGTTTATATATGCTACTTCCTCTGCTTGGAGCACTCTTTTTCTACTTTATAGTCTAAGGGCTTTTTCTTTTACTTCTTTCCTCAAAACACACACACACACACACACACACACACACACACACACACACACACACACTCACTTGCTCACTCACTCACTCACTCACTCACTCACACTTTTAGTTATCCTTCAGATCTCAGCTTACATGTCATTTTCTTGTCTGAGGTCTCCCAAAGATGGGTTAATTGTTTCTCCTATGCAGTCCCCTGTTACTCCTATTATATTACTTAAAACACTATATTTTAATTGTCTGTTTACTCATGTAGTTTTATTGTTATATTCTAAACAACTCGAGGACAAAGGCTGTTTCCTTTTTTTTTTTTCAGTAACCTTGTTTCTAGAAGGTGCCTGCCTGACTCATATGAAATGTTTAGTAAATGGTTTTTTAAAAATTAATCTAAGAACACATGAATAATGAAGTCACAAACTAGCAGAAGTAGTGGTAGGAGCTAGCAGTAGGAAGGGAAGACTTGTATGCTGAAGTCATTTAGGAAGGTGAAAGTAAGTTCTTCCCAGGTTAAGGGTCCTGCTTAAACTCCAAGTATGAACTTTAAATAAGTTTGAATTTTGAGAAGTCAAAGTATGATAGAGCAGTGACCTAGAGATAGCATCAGTGTTCCTCTCTCAAATCTGGGATAAAAATTAAACTTGACTCACAGTTGAATGTGCCTGTAAACCATAATCATCTTGTGATCTGATTGTCTAGCAAGACTTATTGCTTTGGCTACATTGAATTTTCAATTTGAATCCTATATATATGATACTATCTAAATTTGTCTAGCTTTTAGTCTGCATATTTACTTACCAATTTTTCCTTTAACATGTTTACTTTTTTCCCTTTAAAAAACTTGTTCTCAAATTTTGGGTAGAATGTGAATTGTGTTTAATCTACAGAAAGGGAATAAAAGAAAAATGAAATTAAGTGAAAAATTAAGGTCTGTCTGAGAATCAGTATAATCTAATCAACCAAGGCATGGATTACTAGCTTTGTGCCCTTGACAAACTACTTAACCTAGCTGAGTCTCAGATTTATTACCTTATTACCTGTAAAATGAGAATAATAGTGGGAGCCTCATAGGATGTTTTTTATATAGAATAATAACCTTAGGAATTGCATAGTTTTCAAGTTTCTAAAAAGTAGTCATTCTTGGTGGGAAAAAATGATGATGATGGCTTTTAGAAAGTAGAAGTACACTGCCCTAAAATAAATGTTTTTTTCCCTTTGATAGCTCTTTGACAGATTGAGAGATGAAAATCCAGATTTTAGAGAGAAAATTATAGCAATCAATAGTGAACTCACCCAACCTAAACTGGCTCTTAGTGAAGAAGATAAAGAGATCATCCTAGATTCTACCAATATTATATTCCACTGTGCAGCTACAGTAAGGTTTAATGAGAATTTGAGGTAAGTACAGGTATTTATATAATATTTAAAGTTCAGCATAGTTATTAAAAGATATCTCATTTTAATTCTACTTTTTAGTCAAGTTGTTTTGGAAATGATTTGAAACTGTTTGCCATGTGTTAACTGTGGCTTTTAATGTCCTACAGAGTTAAAAAGACTTTACTTTTTCTTGTTATGCTTAAAAAATTGGATAACTAGTGTATGTTTATTAGAAGTTGCCATGGGGCAACCCCCTCGGGTCCCCTCCCTCTGTGGGAGCTTTTCTGTTCTCTCAATAAATCCTGCTTTCCCACATTTAAAAACAAAAAAGTTGCCGTGAATTTAAACGTGTGACATGGAAGAGGCAACAGAAGAAAGCTTCGTTTTAACAACCAATCATGTTTGTCTCTCTTCCCCAATGCTTTCAGAAGCCCATACCCCAGCAGTTTTATTCTTGTATTCCACATTGTTTCCATCTGAAAAGTAAACAAAATTAGTCTCAGATTTTACAGAATAAGATAAAATGGCTTATAAGTTGAAATCACATCTTTTTATTTTAAAACTTTTACAGTGCTCTAGGGGCAAGGTACCTTGGACATAAGTTTAATTTTAAAAATCATTTGGACTTTCTTTAAGATGTCTGCTTTAGGAAAAAGTTAACATTCTAAATGTTCACTATTTAAAAAAAAATGTAATGCACTTGTATTTCAAATAATGGTTCTTGATTCAGAGCGTTCTTTTTGATGGTATGTCCAAACATACAGTTTTTATAACATAAATCTAATTGTATGGTTTCATGCCAGTTAAAGTGGTGCAGACTTTCTTTAGGTTTCAAAAGTACTTGAAGGTTTACTTTTTATTTTTATTTTATTTTTTTTGAAGGACTACTTTTTAACATGTTTCAACATTAAATAGATAGAAGGAGAATATTGAATGAACAAAGAAATGATAAATATTTGGGATGATGGATATGCTGATTACCCTTCCTTAACACTATACATTATATATAGAAACATCACTATTTACCCCATAAAAATATGCAATTTTATATTTCAACTAAATAATAAAATTTGAAAAGTTTAAAAATTAAGTTCTGATTACAATAGTCTTTGATATTATCTCACATTAACTCCTATGGAAGTGTAAGCCTTACTTATCATTACAGAATTTGACAGTTCAGTGCCAAAACATTACAGTACGCTTTGCCTGTATGCCAGGTGAGGGCTCTGTAATGGTCCCTCACATTTCTGCAACAGTCTCCTATAGTTTTCAAGGTATTTTCTCATCTGTTATCCTGTACCCATTGTAATATTATGGCCAAATCCATTTTACACTTGAAGAAACTGAGGCAACATTATAGTAGAAGAGGCATGAACTTTGGAATACATTAGTTCTAATATTGACTTGACTGTTTATTAACTGGTGAGTTTGGGCAAGTCATTAACCTCCTTGAGCTTCAACTTCCATACCTATAAAACTGAGATAGCATTTCTCAAAAGATTGTTTTTTCTTTCCTTCATGAAGTTTAAGGAATGTGTCTCAGTTTGCCTGTCAACTACAGAAAATCTGAATCTGTAGCAGTTGCTTTGTTTACTTTTTAGTTCTTTCTCTGCAGCCAACAGATGAAATACTGTGCAGCCAATATCTATTCATGATTCAAAAGTGGCAAAAGAATGTAATTATGACTATAAAATAATCTCATATTCATAAAATATGTGTGCATTTATATTTATATAATTATAGTGTCTTTACGTATTTACCAATAATTATCTTTGAATTACAGGTAGGAGTTTAATCTTAACTGCGTATTATTTTTTCTACAAATACATATTAAGTTTCAAATAAAGATGTACACAAATAACTTTTAAAAATTATTTTAAAAAGCAACACTTACAAGAAATTTTAAAGGGACTGATAACTTCATCAACTAACAAAACTCATTTTTTTTTGAGGTGGAGTCTCACTCTGTCGGCCAGACTGGAGTGCAGTGGCCGCTCCCGGCCACCGCAGCCT